CACACACACACACACACACACACACACACACACACACACACACGTGTCATTTTTCCCCTTGAAAATTAAGTCTTACTTGTCTCTAGTGGCGATAGCTGCACATACTGCTATAAGCGCTGCAAGAGCAGCAATAAACGCAACGATGATTATCCAATCTAGATGGAGGTGAAAAAGAGTATGTTATTCAAATGAACTAATTTAAGCAAGAGTTAAATCATACAGAGGTGCATTTCATTAAAGTTGTTTTCTTTTTTTTCTCGATTTACCTGGTGTGCTGTGTCCTTTGTGCATGCCTGCGTCTTTCGAGTTTGGTCCTGTAAGAAACATTAAAACAGTCTTACATGCAGTTTTCAAAGACAAGTATATTATTCAAAATTATTTTTGTGTAACTATGCATTTTTTTATTAGGCAATAATTTACCATTTATTAGTTCTTTTATGCCTAAATGCTTTTCCGTTCCAGCATTGTCTTCACTTGGAAGTCTTTGGAGAAACAAACGACTTCTGTTTCTTGGCACCACAGCATCTTTAATGGTTGCAAATGTTTCTGGTGGCTCAGTCGTTGTTGAAGCGTCAACACTGTCCACCACAAGCCCCATTCTAGTTGGAGAGTGTCCACTTCCTTCCTCAAACCCTGTAGTAGATTCCTCTGTGAAGAAATCTGTGAATGTCTGCTGGGGTGTTTGGACGGTTGTGTCTGAAAGGACGGTGCTCGTTATCACAGATCTGGAAGCAGCTGGAGAGAATCCGCTTCCTTCAAATAACCTCGTGGACGACGTGGGGTCAGCACTGCCCTCTGTAGTGAAATCTGTTAGCAACTGATCAGAGACCAGGAAGGCTGAGGATACGTCCATCACAGACTGTGTTGTGGGGCTGTCTGACACACTCAGAGGTGTGGGTTGAGATTTACCACTGCTCTCAGTCGTGGCATCTGAGGGCAGCTGTTGGGATTCTTGGAAGACCACCGGTGTTTGGTGGGATTCAACTTTTCCATCCAGCACTAACTCTGTTGTGGTGGGAGTGCCATGAGCATTTGAAACGCTCCGAGGTGTGAAGGGGTCAACAATGAATTCCTCTGCCTTGACATCATGGTAAATGTCGTCCTCAAACGTGACTGGGATCTGGGTCACAGCTGTAACAAAAAAAAAAAAAAGAAAGAAAAAAAGGAAGGGGGGGATCAGTTGAAGTATTTATTTACCAACCAGCCTTGACATGAGCAGAAAGGAAAATGACTGTGCTCCTTTGAAGTGTTACAACAGAACACAATAGTTTACATGCCTGGCCACAAAGTCTTGTGTTAGCATGTTCTGCACCCTGCTTTGATAAGGTGTGGTGAGAAACTGGGATGATTAACCCGTGTGAAAAAAAGGCAAGTGTAGCCTGATCAAAACATCCGTTTTAATCTTTGACACACCCMATTCATTAGAAAATTCAAAATGACAGTTTTCTTTGGCAAGGACAGGTTTGTGCTGTTGCAGAGGAAGCAACAGAACAAACAAATGAATTTATTTTCAAATGTGTGTAAACTAATTTATTATTATTATTATTTTTATTATTTTTATTTTATTTTATTTTTTGTGTCTTTTTGCTGCTCCTTTCTCAAGGGCTTGCCAAAGCAAGCAATTTCGCCTGATGATTTAGCAATATTGTTTTTCCGCCGGAAGTACTTCCTGACTCAACCTCAAACCACCGATCCACCGCAGCCCACATGTGCCATCTAGGGCAGAAGATGTGCGGCTAAGGGTCTTAGTCTTAGTCAATGGGCCCAGAGTGAGGCCGGTGTGGATGCTCTACAATTAGGTGATTCAAAGAGGCAACTTCTTGATCACAGGCACGCCTCTCTAACCTCCACTCCCCTTAAAATTATTAGTTTTATGTGCAAAAAACAGCAATAGGGATCTAAATTGTTAGATATTAAGGAGCTCCATTTTACATTCCTCTTAAATATCTCAGATATTATTCTGTTTAATTTGAAACTTTTTGATATAAACAGTTAATTTTGTGGAGGATGTTTGTTTTTATCTTCTGCATTGCTCATTTTATTTGGTAAATACTTTATTAGTCTGCTGCTCTGCTTAAACAACAGTAAGACAGTGCAGCAAACCCATACCATGAATTCTAATGATACAAATGTGTAAATTAAAGACAACTCCCCGATAATACTAATGATGGATTATCAATATTTACTGACTACAATAACACATAGTTTAGATTACTTAAAAAGACATTTTAAAAGACCTTAACGTTAAATCACACGCCTCCAGTCTGCATTTCTGCTCTGTCATATTCAGATCAGGTGTTTCCCCCTATGAAGTTACTGGTTGCCCAAACTGGTGAAAGAGCTATTTGCTGATCTTTGGTTTCACMGTGCTCAAGACAAAAGTGTTCATGTATCTCCTGGAGCAGGTCACGTCTTTCCACAAAGACCTCTCTGTGTTCTCTGGAGGTGCAACTGAGAATTGTGCAAGCRAAATGAAATCTGACCCTCGCAGAAAGCGTCAGACCTGAAAAATATACAGCCCACCTTGGGTGGCAGCAGGGATTGTGCTGAGTCACTGTGTAAATAGAGGAGCTGGAATAGGAACGAAAAACATTAAAAGCCGGTCAACGACTTGTTTTTTTTGGCAGACCCAAATCGAATCGCCATCTCTTTCTAAGCCTCCAAATTAGTGTTAAAATTTCCTGATAAATGTTTAGTAGTTTCTTTTTTCCCTCTTTTAACATTCCAACAGTTATTTATATGTTATACAATCATATCATTCAAATTTAGTTGTTAACCTAACTTGTTTGCAATATTTTAATAATAAATCAATGCTACTCACTGTTGACGGGTGTTGGGTGGACAACAACAAAAAGTCCAAGAAAAACTCCCAGAAGAAGATTCCTCATCTTGTTAAATATATTCGCGGAGCAAAGACCTGATGTTACCTGTCGGCAAGCTGGGATATAGTGACCCACTGAACTGAGTACCTGAAGCAAATGACTCATGCCTTCACCTTTTATACACAACAGCAGCTGGATGTCAAGTCAGGGAACACCCAAATAGGGACACAGGAAGACACACCTGTTCGAGCATTTTCTTTCACCACACTTTCTCATAGATCCCCCCACTCACCCACCCTCGTTTTCTTCCTCAGGTGCTGCATTACCACATGAAATCCCCTCCCCCACACACATACACGCACAAACACAAAGTAGTTTTTTTTTTGTTAGGCTATACAAAAAGTAAACATAGATGCCATAAAGCTTTATCAACGTTTCATGCTTCAAAGATTTCATATGGTTTCAATTATTTTATAACAGCGGAGTAAGACTAAAACTGACAAAGATAGATAGATAGATAGATAGATAGATAGATAGATAGATAGATAGATAGATAGATAGATAGATAGATAGATAGATAGATAGATAGNTAGATAGATAGATAGATAGATAGATAGATAGATAGATAGATAGATAGATAGATAGATAGATAGATAGATAGATAGATAGATAGATAGATGAGTATATAGATAGATTAGTAGATGAATAGATGGGTAGATGGGCAGATAAATGAGTAGATAAATAGACGGGTAGATAGATGGGTTACATAGATAACACTCTGTAATAAAAAAGAATGAGCAGGGCTCTAAAAAAAAGAACCACATTGTGTGATAAGCCTAACACAAACAAACTAAATCCTAATGTGAAAAGAGAACAAAAATGAAGCAAAACAAGGAACAGGAACCATGTAGAGCACATTGAAATGAAAATACCTACAATACAATATACAGGAACTAGAAAATACACCATAACATTTAAAGAAAGGTGTAAATGGAGTTTGTTAAACAGAAACTGATATAGTAACATGTTTTTTTTTCTGCCTCTCTTCTGTTTCCTACGAATCAAGACTTTTGAGCAACATTCACTGATTTTAAAAGATGGAAAAATCTGTCACAAAATTAGGTCAAATTATTTTCAAGTTCTAACCAAAGTGCTGAACAACAACAATAAGACAAAGGCATGAATAAAAACAACAATAAAACAAATTAAAGTGTTATAAAAAAATCAGAAAAAAATAATGAACAATAAAATACTAATTCAGCTTCATTGTGAGTAAAAATGTCAGTGAGACATTTTAAAAGGGATTTAAAAAAAAAGGGAAGTGTAGAGGCATGTCTGGTTTGGGAGCCACTTCAGAAAAAGACAAATCACCTCTGAGTTTCAACCTAATTTTCATTGCAGTAAAATTTTTAATCTATTCTATGACTCACAAGCAGTCAGTGAAGTGAAGTGAGGTCAAGAGAAGTGAAATGTGCTGAAACGTATCAGCTCCTGTTAAAAACGTGTTTTAAATCATATGTCTTTAGACAAACAAGCATTTCATCTGATTATCAAAACTGATTCAAACAATCCTACCGTTGTTGTCTTTGCGTTGAAAGAAGATAAAACTGTTCACCTGCTTGTCAGGCCTGACATATGAACAAATTATCACATGATTCACTTTATGGAATTTTTTAATTAAATTATGAGCAAAACATATTTGCATCTGAGTGAAACTTTTGTCACACCAGTATAATCTCAACCCATCTGACTGGAAAGCTCATTGGAAAAAAAAACTTATGAATACATGAGGCATAATAAATTACTCCATTTTGGAAACACTTGAAACAGCACCCCTTTCATTCACCCATAAGCCTGCCATCATCTTCTCATGTCACAGAGGAAACAGGAACATAACTTTCCACTCTTCTGTGACATTACTTCAAAAAGTTTGAAGCAGCAATTTTTGACTTAGCTGAACATATTTTACCACAAACTCAGCTCAGTTTCAACTTCATGCAGTTTGTGTGTACTGTATACTAAATAATGGTTGTTATGGCCTGGTGGCATTTGTAAAAGTGATGCGTCACTGGCTAGCTGCAGCCTCAGGTTATCTGGCGCACATGTGAAGTTGCAACATGCGTCATGAATTACTGAGCATGTGGGTGAGTACTTGTCTAAACTTGTGTTCCACACCCAGACTTGAGTGCTGTCTGCTATTGTTAAAGTGGACTTGGTCAATACATTTGCTGTGATACACAACATAATAACTAGGCACAAGACTTGCTTTTACAAGAACACAATACACGTTTYAGTGGCTAGACAGCTTTTCATTCTGCTTAACTGTCTGGTGAGTGCTGAAGGTTGCAGAAGACAGTTTGAAAATTGCGTAATGAAGGAACTAAAAGCCYGTGACAAATAGGGGAAAACAAACTTTTCTGTTTCTTCAGGGAAATATTTATATAAAATGCTTCAAGATTCATACAGTATGTGCCCTATTTGCATTTTTTTAAACAAAGCAGTGTTTCAAGAAAGCTGCTGTGAGGATTTCAGTGAACTTATCAGGATTTGGGAAAGAATACACTTTAATGGTTACGCTRAATTGTTAATGACTGAATCCTTAGTTTTGATTGAGCAATTGCTGTGGAAATTTAGGTGTTTGAACTTAGATGAGTATTTTACTTTGCTTGAACAATTTTCTTTTTCAGAGAGCAAGGCTYAGTATGTGAGCCTATGTGGTTGGCAGATTTTTGATTAAAATTTGAAGGGATAGACTGGTCGTTTTTTATTTATTTATTTGTTTATTTATTTATTTGTTCWTTTATTTAGTTCAGCCGATGATTCTCAAACAATTACATCTTAAAAGTGGCACACTGCCAAAATGCTACTGATTGGGCAATATGCTATTGTGTGTGATATACAGTCAAAGAAATTCACCATGGTAATAATTTGTCATCTCTCAATAAAACCAATAAAATCCTGCTGCCTAAACAGTTAACATGCTGGTCTTTTTGACCAAAAATCTAAAGTTGTAAAGCATATACAGATGTTAATGCCAGCCTTATTTCTGCATTCTTGCACAAAAAAGCATTTCAGTTTTGAAATGTTCATTGGACTTTATTGATTTTTTTTTTCATCAGGTTGTATTTACAGTTATACTACTTTGTGATTTTTACAAGCCAAGTTAATTTTGCTATTTACACCATTTAAATAAATGTCAGTTTTTTTCTAATATTTCAGACTTGTTTGATGGGTGTCAGTTTTGCAACACATGTACTACTTGAACTTAATTAATGTAGTTTAGTGGCTCCTAGTAATTTTTAGGGCTCTCCAGACAGAATGTATACTAAAGGTAAAGGTGCTTTATTGGTCATCAATGTATGTTTCCACACAATGATGAAATTGTGCTCTGCATTTGACCCATCCACATCCAAGTGGAGCAGCGGGCAGCCATGTGAGGCGCCCGGGGAGCAGTTAGGGTTAGGTGTCTTGCTCAAGGACACCACGACATGTGGGCATGGCGGG